TGAGGCGGAGAGTACCACGGAGGAGTAGTGAGCTTCAGTTTCTGAACTACGCTACGCAATGAACAGTGCTCGCTATTGATCTGAATTCTTAAGCTGCTGCTCTGCTGATGCGTTGCCGCCATTGCTGCTTCTGCAGCTGCCCATGTTCGTAGCAAGGTAGGCTGCCTATCTAGCTTCTTTACTCTTGGAGATGAATGCGACTGCACTTGCCGTTGCCGATTCCCTTCCACTGTTCACTCTTCTCGCTGCTTCCCTCCTCTTTTTCTCGTATGAAATTTATACCTGTTTCCTCCTGCCTGCTTGCTGTCTGAACTGAAGCCTGATGCGTGCATAGTAATCTGCAGCGACCTACTACAGTGCTCTTGCTGTTGCCATTGCAGAGTTCTTCACACACTGTCTTCTGTCAACTGCCTTCTTTGCTCATGAATCATGATACCTGCATTTACATGCCGTCTTCCTGATGAGAGCTAAGCTGAACTTCCAAACTGAATTATTTTCAGATAAGTAAGTACTCCCTCCATTTTAAAATATAGTAACCTAATACTCAATTAGGGCTTGGTTTAGTTCCCAACTTTTTCTTTAAACTTCCAATTTTTCCATCACATCAAAACTTTCTTACACACACAAACTTCTAACTTTTCCGTCATATCGTTACAATTTCAATTAAACTTCTAATTTTAGCGTGAACTAAACACACCCAAGAAGTAATATAGTTTTCTTGTTCTTATTAAGTCAGTTATATTTTAGGACGGACAGACTTATCAGGTTTCAGCTCGAGCAAGAATAGCCGGGAAATTTAAGACTCTGCACATGTAGCCAAACAATGCAAATCCTGCTGGTTAATAGTACCTGATCTGTTGATCACTATTTCGATTTCTGACTGCAGAGAAGCTGTAGTTTCATGTGCTGCATCATGAGTTGGCATCAGCAGCAGCATATACTCATGGTTGCAGATAAAATCAGAGAAGAAGAATTTACAACAGGATGGAAGAAATTTCCATCTTGCTGTTGCTGCTGTCCACTGGCAGCAGCACTAGTGATCACCACTGATGAGCAGCAGCATCTCATTCTCATATCAAGGATGGATCGATCACACTGATGACTGACTGCATGCTGGGTGGACCTGATGGAGACCATCAAGCAGCCAACCCAACCAACCAATCATCAAAGCAACCCAGCGAAATCTGTCTTTCTCTGCCTGCTGCCTGTTACTATAGGAATTTCAGTTCAGCTTATTTACCGGATTATCAAAAGTTCAAAACGGGTTATTTGCTCCACGCTTTGAAATGCGTTTTCTTAAAATTCTTTTTTTCTGCATTAGACCACCTATTTTAAACTAGTTATTATGTTATCATAATATTATTGTCTAAAATAAATAAAAGCATATATTTTTTTATCAATGTGTCATCCACCTTTTTGCTACAAGTTATACTCACCTCAATTTAATTTTATTTGTGACTATTCATTTAAATGTAGTTGTTATGTAATATATTTAGAAGTTCAAAGGGTAATGTGGGACAGATTTACTGTAACCACCATTGGAGTTTTTTTAAAAGAAATATATATAGATAATTGTAATCAAGTTGATAATTCGCAGCAATAATCCAACCAATAATCTAAATTCTTCAACTACTGCATGAGCCATTGGCCACCACCGCCAATGCAGGCCACAAGCCCAAAACAGAACATGATCATGCATACAGACAGGGAGGTGAAGTAGCTCAGGTGCTACTGCTAATCTGCTATATAGCTCATGCTTCTGGGTGGGCCCCACCTGGCAGTGACCCAGCCGGCAGGGTAGGCTACTGATCACTGATCTAGTAGGAGTAGGAGTAGAGAGGAAGAAAGAGCTGGAGGTGATCAGGTAGAGTACCAAATGGTGTGTGTGTACAGTATACACTACAGTGTGAGTCGGTGGATGCTGTGGGTGGTTGCATCAGCTGTTTATGGCTGCTGCCTCTGTGCATTCCCACATATGTACAAGAACACAAGATCAAATCAAAATTAATGGTCGTCCCTGTCATGTACTTATGTTGATATGATCAAATTGGATGCTCTAATGATCTAATCTTGGTGCCCTTGGCACTGCAACCACTAATGTGAGTATTGTGATGGTTAATCTGCCCTGTAACTTTTTAAAAATAAAATTTGAGTATATGCATAACGTGATACGCAATACAAATTTGGTTTGTATATATAGAAAGTGAGGGTTAACCTTACAATCACAGGTTAAATCATGTTCCCTCTATCTACAAATACAAATATAAGGGATCTAATGGTTTAGAATTTTTCTATAATTATAAGAGGTCTTCCCCACCCCCTAAACATCCCTCGTTAATAAGGCAACATGTTTTTTTTACCCGTAGTCTCTAAAAAAAATAGGATTCCTTATGGACGGATGTAGTATTTATCATTATATCCATAGAATCAATTAAATCATGTACTATTTGATCACATTCTAGCTACTCAAAAAATAACATTTTTTTTCCTAGAAATAGGCCTATCAACAAACAAGTAGTAGTATAATTCTGTTCATCACACATGTTTCAGCTTCTATTATGCAATTCTGCATGGACAAGAAAGGCACTACAATCCAAAGCTCATCCATGTATCTGTATCTGCTTAAAGTCAAATTAAGTTAAAGCGACCCCCAAATAATAAAAAAAGATCATCATGACCATTAGCAAAGAAAGCACATAAGTATGTTGCCAGTACAGGCCATGTTTGCTTCTAGACAGAAGAAAACCACTGCTGCTCACAACACATGAGTATCCAACAGAACAAGTACCATACTACCATGTCTTGTGTGGGGGCCTAGGTATGGTTCACAGCTAGCACAAGTGTACACAACAAAAGGACATGGAAGCTAAGGGAAAAAAAGAGAAAAAAAGTGTGAGGATAGCTGGTTTTGCTATGGTTTCTTAACATCTGGGAAAAGAGAAGACAAAAACTAAAGCAGAGAAGGCCCATCCAAAAAGGCATGAGATGAGACCTTAAACTAACTTGACAACAAATGGAGCACCACTTATTATGGCATAATTGATTATATTGGGTGAGTTAGGAAAAAAATAGTAGTATAGTACTGCTATTTTAAGGAGCAATAATTCCAGGGAATGTGGAGCCATTGCTTGTAATTTGGAAATGAAGAGTGGCTGACATGAGGGTTTTTTAATTGTTAGTTAAGTTTTACATGTGATGCTACTTGTAAAAGTAATGGATAGCCTTGTGCTAAGTTGCTTTGAGAAAGATCTATTGTGATATGAATCTCCAAAGGTTGATGTAGCTGCTGAGCATTGTAGTGTTTAAGAGGTTAAGCTGTGTGTCGTGCTGAATTTATTGCAGGCGAGTTTTATTGAGCATCATATTCACAATTATATTGTCAACCTCTTCTTTGGCTCCTACGGTTTCCTCATGTGAGTGGTTCACCTTTCATATATCATCGAATGCTACTACTCTCCTTCTTACTACTGTTCATTAGAGGTTCGTCTCAATCATCAAGTCCATACACCATGAATAACCAAAATTATCTCATAGTCTACAATGATGACGCTACCTACATCTTTATTATCGTCGTCTTGCCATTAATCAGCAAGTCGACAAACCGACGATGAGTAAATCTCATTCCCCACGTCATACCTCAAACCCTTAGGGCAACACCAATGTATTTAGCAAACTAGTCCATAGATGTGGGACCCACACCTGGGAGTCCATAGTTTTAGAAACCACCACAATGTGTGCAATTAAGGTGGGTCCCACTAAAGGCAAAAAAAAATCAGCCGGAGCTGAAGCTGCAGGCTGCAGCATGCATGCACCTGGCATAACTATGATTTTTTATTGTCTATGGACTACCCATAGTGCTATGGACAACTTTTGTTATTTCTTTGCTATAGACTAGTTGCATAATGTGTTAAGATAGCTGAATGGAATTTTTTATTTCCTATGGACTGGTTTTCATGTACATTGTGGATGCCCTTATGAATAAATTTCTACCAACCCGTTGAATTATGGTTTACGCTAGTATACTTTCCATAGATCTTATCACTTCTTCCGTATACGCCAACATTATCACGTCATTATATCATAAACAACCATCGGTAAATTAAGACGACCTTATCGATAATATTCGTAAGTGACACCCCCCCTCAAGTATTACAAACACATTAAAGACAAAAAAAGGGTAAAATATGCCAATAAAGAAAATGAACAATTCTACTTAAAAAAGGCAGATAAACTAAAAAAAGAAACTTTTTAGTGGTTCATTAGAGTAATGGTTAGCCTTGTGCTAAGTTGCTTTGAGAAAGGTCTATTGCGATATGAATCTCCCAATGCTGATGTAACTGCGGAGCATTGTAGGTTATTGAGTATCATATTCACAATTATATTGGCAACCTCTTCTCTGGCTCCTATAGTTACCTTGTGCGAGTGGTTCACCTTTTATGTATTATTGAACACTACTATACTCTCCTTATTATTAGAGGTCCATCCTAACCATTCAGGCCATAAACCATGAATAGCCAAAATTATCTCATAGTATACTATACTATCTTCATCTTTCTTATCGTTGTCTTACCAAACCAGCAAGTCGACAAACCGACAATGAGTAAACCTCTCGCTCACCACGTCATACCTCAAACCCACACGATTAAACTTCTAACAACCCATCGAGAATTATGGTTTACGGTATTAAACTTTCTGTAGAGCTTATCACTTATTCCGTATACGCCAACAATACCACGTCATTACATCAGAAACGACAACCCCGTAAATCAAGACGACCTTATCAACAACATCCGTAAGCGAAATCCCCTGCAAGTATTAAAAACATATTAAAAGCCAAAAAAAAGTAAAATATATACCAATAAAGAAAATGACCAATTCTACTTCAAAAAACAAAAAGCCAGAGAAACTAAAAAAAAAAGAAAAAAAACACTTTAGATGCACAAACGGTTAATCCCCTCCTTGTCTTTCTTTGCAGAGGGTCACTCCTATAAAACCAACACCCCCACTTCTCCAAAGGCACCACCTTTTTCGCGCCCACGCACGCCGCCACCGCTCGCCGCCGACGACGAGAGCGACTGCTCCGATGAGCGAATCCGGCAGGGTCACCGCCGGCGGAGGAAGGGGCGAGCTGCGGCCGCCGGAGCTGCCGCGGGACCCGGCGCTGGAGTTCCTGTCCCGGTCGTGGAGCGCGTCGGGCGCCGCCGACGTCTCCCGCCGCGCGCTCGCCGCCGCCGCCTTCCCGGCGGCGGCGGCGTCGGCCGCGGTCATCGCCGAGGACGTCTCCGGTGAGCTCGACGTCGACGGCTCCGCCTCCGGGAGCTCCTTCTCCTTCGCGTCGGCGGCCACCTCGCAGCTCATCATGGACAGGATCATGTCGCAATCGGTGCGTGCGCGTTTCGTCCCTTCGTTCTTGCCTCATCCTCTCTCTCTCTCTCTCTCTCTCTCTTCCTTAATTAAAAAAAATAGAGAGATTAATTCGGTCTTTTTTAATTGAGCTTGTCCCTGAGTGAGTGAGTAACTGAGTACATCCTAATAGCAACCGGATTATGGACTTTAATTATTTTATTCTTTTTTTAGGTGAGAGGTTGGTGAGATTATTCTGTAGTATGTTTCTCTGCTTTTTCATTCTGTTTCTCTCTCTCTCTAGCCAAACAATACATGAACTTCAATCCAGTGCAGTAAAAAACTTGTATCTCCCAACTTTTAGGTGTGATTCTCTCAACTGCATGTTTTTGGTTTGATTTCTCATGGGTATTACCTCGTCGATTAGTAGTACCTGCTTTGCTTTAATGTTCTCTGACTTCCTGTACTTCTTGGACTGAAGTGAGGACAAGAACAAGAGGCCAAATATGAGATTTCTTTCCCCCCACACACCCCCATCATAATCAACGAAAAAACACACACAAAATACTAGCCATCTTTATTTGGTTCTGTAACATGAATCCAAGCTAATTAATGATCACAATTCACACCAACATTTCCTACTCTTTAAAACTTCCTTGCATGTTCAATGATTATTGTGAAATTGTGCTGTTCTGCTTGGAACAGTAGCTCACTTTGCAGATAGACACTGAGAATTTACTCGTTTCTTGTTTCATGGAGCAGCAGGAGGTGTCGCCGCTGACCTCCGGCCGCCTCTCACACAGCAGCGGCCCTCTCAACGGCGGCGGCTCGCTCTCCGACAGCCCACCGGTCTCGCCGGACGTCGACGACAGCAAGGTCTCTTCTCCTGATCCCTGCACCTGAACATTTTTTTTCCCTTCATGGATGACTTGTTAATCTTGTCAATTCTAGAGGGGGGGGGGGTGTGTGATTGCTCTAGTTTATACATACTGAACATGATTAAGGGAGTTGCTGCACTAGCATTGTTGGGTAAAAACAGGATAAGCTATTCTTTACTGCCAATTTGGATAAGATAATCAAGAAATTCCATGATATCTTTTTATCCTGCTCATTGCATTTTGTTTGAGATGGTTATATTCAGCTATGATTTTGTGTACTCCTTTTTTCCTTGTGGAAATGGAACACTAGCTTGTTTGCATCTTTTTGGTGTGGAGCAATATATATCTGGGACACAACAAGAAGTCACTTTGGCTAATTTTGTGTAGTGTTTAGCATTTCCAGGTTAGTCAATTTCAGTGTTAGAACTTGTGGGGACTTGGCCTCTGGGACAAAAACACCAGCCTTGCAGCTTTCCTTTTCACAAAATTTTCTGCACAGTGAGAAAGAATTCCAGTTTATGCCTTTCTCTTCATCCAATGGAATACTTTGCTGCCCAAATTCCATTTTCTCTGCAGGCTCACATGCTTCAGAAATACTACACACCAAAAAGCCACTGCAGAATAATGTATATACTTGTGAATTTTTCACAAATATGGATGGAGATATCTTTTTCTTCCTTCCATCTGCAGAATTTCTCACCCCAAAATGGGATACATCTTGTGACCAATAATCATTCCCCTTTTCTTCCATGCTTTTGCTCCTTTTCTCATGCCTGGCTGGTATCCTCTTCTCCCTTTGATACATTTTGTTCTCTGAATCACTGCACTAGTTTGTTAGAGTGTTGCCTTTGAGCTCTCACAGCAATGATTGCTCATTTTTCACTCCATTCTGCAGGCGGCAGCTACATAGGCATGCCAACATGCCATGCTCTTTAACAGAGGCAGTTCTTGTGAATAGCTTATCAAGCCTAGCAACTGAAGCATGCCATCTAATTAAGCAGATGTAGTAGAGCAAACATTAGGGTGACAAAAAGAATCAACAACCAAAGACTAGTGATTGGACCATGTCACCTGACCAATGCTCACATTGAATATTGAAAGAATCTGCTTACCTTTCCCAACCATGCATTCCTTTGCTGATGTCTACTCTGATAGCATCACAAAGCAATGTGAAATGCACTCTCAGTGTACTGTGTACTCAGCCAAGCTTTGGTCCTGAAGTTGAATCTTGATAGGAACAGAAATCCTATGCATGGGTGCCACCACAATTCAGCTCCTCTTTGCATTGGCTCATGAGAGACATGTCTCATGAGAGTGGTCATGGTCAAAAGACTTGATTGGCAATTTGTCACTGCATGTTATTGTTGCCCCATGAGCCTCTGGGCCATCTCAAAGTTCAGAAAGAGAAGAACTGAAGAAAAGACCACCATGTGATCTCATGCTTTTTCCTTCCACAAGAAACACTCCCAATTCCATTTTTTCTTTAAAAAAAAACATTTCCTCCTCTGTACTGTACACTTGTAGCTCTGACCAGCAGGAAGAGGTGTTTGATTTGATGGTCTTTGGTGGTTGCTTGGTGTGTAAGAACTGAAGCTTTGATTCTTGCTCCCATTTCTGTCCTTGTGGTCTCCTCTTTCCACAAGCAAAGCCCTGCAACATGTTCAGTGCCCCCACTCTCTTCACTGCCATCTCTGGGTGAAAAGCAGCAGGCTTGCCTTGCCTTGCCTTGCCTCCCTCTCTCTCTCTCTCTTCTCTGAACTTTAGCTGCTTGCCTGCCTTTTTGCCCCATGAGCTTGATGAGAGTGATGAGCTGAGAGTGTCAAGACTACCTGATGCCTTTCTTATCCCTAATCAAGTGTTATTCCCCCACAGCTTTCTGTTCCTAACCTGATGATGCCATTCTTTTATTTTAATCTGTGCTCTAATCAAGGCACTGTCTGAGGAAATAGCTTTTATTTGTTAACACGATAAATTAATATTTTGACAAATAAACTTCGCAGTAGACTTTTTTTTTTTGAGAAATCATATTTTTAGAAGCGGGAAGCAAATAATCTGCGACAAAGATCTGAAAGGAACAGGGGCTTGAGAGTAATGTAATGTAAATTCTCCTCTCCAGAAAGCTGCTGCTTGGGGCTCATGCTCATGCCCTCCATGATTATGTCTTCTTGTGTTCTTCTTTCTTCTTTCTTCAGTGGCGTGTGCACTGACTGACCTGGCCTATCCTATGGCACGCTCAACATTCTCCATTGATTTAACCTAGGGTTCTAGATTAACGTCATGGAATGGAAAAGAAGCACAATGATTTGCCCTGGGTCAGTGAAATGCAGCCACACTTTGCAATTAGCATCATTTTGATACAGTTACAGTGTGTGCTGCTGCTGTTCAGAAATAAGAACCCCTTTGGATGCAACCTGTCAAATTCAGAGTTTGTTCTTGGCTTAGCTGCTCCAGTTGTAATGCTACTGTTTGCTTGCCACTTTTGCTGTAGATCAAATTTAAGTTGGGGGAATTTATTAGCTATCCATTCCATTTTACCTAATGGTGTGTAGTAGGAGTGCATGTACATGAATGCCACATTTTGGTTAAGCAGTTCCAATCCGATGAAATTAATACAATTCTTTTCATTAAAAAAATTTCGGTTTTTGATAGGATTATTGGGTTTTGGATTGAATTATATGATGGTGACATGGGATTATTAGGACAGAATCGGATCGAATGACTTTGATGCATTGAACACTACTCCCTCCATTTTATATTATAAGTTGTTTTGATTTTTTTCTATTTAAATTTATTTATGTTTGATTAAATTTATAGAAAAATTTAGAAACATCTTTATGTATGTTTGATTAAATTTATAGAAAAATTTAGGAACATCTACAACATTATATTAGCTTCACTAAATATAACATTAATATATTTTGATAATATATTTATTTTGTGTTAAAATATATTATATTTTGTAAGTTTGACTAACAAAAATTAAAGCGACATATAATATGAAACCTAGGGATTTGATTTACTAGGAACTAATTTGGAACTATTTGCTAATTAGACAATTTTTTTCTTGGAAAAATGTGCAGTTTTGCAGAGCGGTGAGCACGCCGAAGCCGCAGCCGTACCGCGGCGTCGTCGGCGGCGGCGGGAAGACGGTGGGGCGGTGGCTGAAGGAGAGGAAGGAGAAGAAGAAGGAGGAGGCGCGGGCGCACAACGCGCAGGTCCACGCCGCGGTGTCGGTGGCGGCGGTGGCGGCCGCGGTCGCCGCCGTGGCCGCCGCCACCGCGGCCTCCGGCGGCGGCAGGGACGACCGCGCCGCGCGCACCGACATGGCCGTGGCGTCCGCGGCGACGCTGGTCGCCGCCCAGTGCGTCGAGGCTGCCGAGTCCCTCGGCGCCGAGCGCGACCACCTCGCCGCCGCCATCGCCTCCGCCGTCAACGTCCGCACACCCGGCGACATCGTCACCATCACCGCCGCCGCCGCCACCGGTTCGCGTTCCACCCCCATCCTCATCGTCTCCGGCGAGCCACCGTGACTGATCACGCCATCTCTCTACATTGCATTGCAGCGTTGCGAGGCGCCGCGACGCTCAAGGCGAGGGCGCTCAAGGACGTGTGGAACGTGGCCGCGGTGATCCCCGTCGAGAAGAACGCCATCGCCGCCGCCACCACCGGCGGTGGCCACCACAAACACAACGCCCAGAAGCAGCAGCATCACCACCGCCACCATGGCAACGGCAGCAACACGAGCAGCAGCTTCAGCGACGAGGTCGCCGCCGTCGACGACGACGACGACGACGACAACAACTTCCTCACCATCTGCAGCCAAGAGCTCCTCGCCCGTGGCACCGAGCTCCTCAAGCGCACTCGCAAAGGTAACAAACCTACCTACCCAATCACCATTGATCATCCACTAATTCGATTCGATGATGTTAATCAATCAAACTCGATGATCATGTGCAGGAGCTTTGCATTGGAAGGTGGTCTCGGTCTACATCCATCGGACGGGAGTGGTAAATCCATAACCAACATATGCCAAATTGTGTTCTTAGATGTATCAAATTTGTTGGCGAAAAAAAAGGTTTACTGATCCCAAGTTGCGGTTCGCCATTGTTGCAGGTGATGCTCAAGATGAAGAGCCGGCACGTCGCGGGCACGCTCACCAAGAAGAAGAAGAGTAAGCGCTTGTCCAGATTCGTTTCCAGAAGTTGATTTTTATATATATATATTTTTAAGAACGGAGGGGTGTATGCCTTTGTCTCTAACAATGGCGGGGTTTTGTCGCGGTGGCGGTGGCGGCAGATGTGGTGGTGGACGTGTGCAGGGACGTGGCGGCGTGGCCGGGGAGGCACCTGCTAGAGGGCGGCGAGCACCGGCGGTACTTCGGGCTCCGCACCGCGGAGCACCGGGTGATCGAGTTCGAGTGCGGCAGCCAGAGAGAGCATGACATGTGGACCAAGGGCGTCGCCCGCCTCCTCGCCACCATCGATGGCCGTCGCAAGCGCTTCGCCTGACCGAACGCCGCCGCCGTCGCCGGCATTGCCTGCAAAAGCTGTTGTGATCATGTCACTCTTCACTGTTGCTGTCATTAGGAGCAGAAAACTGAACAAGATTCAGAGATGGTTTGTAGATGTGTGTGGTGTTGATTTCTCTTTTCTTTTTTGGTTTTATGTGTCATGTAAGAAGTGTTGTTTTGTATCTTCTCTTTTCAGTTGTCTCTGATTTAACTTGAGGGGGTTTGGGCAATGAAAATACAGACAGACAAGCATCATCTGCATTTGTAATATGTGGTGTCTGCAGGGAATCATAACTTCTTAAGTGCTTTTGCTCTTCCGGTAACCGTGGTTTCACTTCGATTACTAACAAAAAAAAAGGGGGTAGAATTCAAACAAATTTGCTGAAAATTGGACTTTCGGTTTTCTTTTCTCTAACTTGGCTGGTTTCCCGAGCGGTTTCTCGATTTGTATTACCTTGATAAAGCCGATAACCGTGGTAAACTTAGCTACTCCCTCCATTGACCTAAGTCAAATACTTTTATCATCTTTTTTTTTTTTACTGAAACACCTTTATCTTTGACTATTAATTTTAAAAAAATTGTGTACTTTATTAACATATAGATTATATATTGTGAAAGTATTTCTTATAGTGAATCTAAAACATAAATCTTTCGGTGTATACGAAAATTGATGATTGAAGATTCAAATGTTTGATTTAGAAAAAAAGCTAAAACAACAAGTAATTTGAAATGGATGAAGTATTACCGTTGCATTTGTCAGCCAGTGAACTTACTTGAATGTTCTCCTTATGCTTTTATTGTCATTACCAATAATCTGTTTATGTCTACTTGTAATTTTTTTCAGTATATAAGAACAAGAAAGAACAATAGAGTGTACCTGGTACTACTACTCAGTACTCACAAGTCACAGGTCACAACAGAATTGTTGTAGGCTAAAGAATCTTTGACTGCAGCCTGAAAGCAAAAGTTGGCTAACCAATTAACCATTTGCCACCTTAACATCATCTACCCCTCTTGCCTATCAATCCATAGATTCTACATACACCAAATAGTTTGTTGCCCCCTTTGAATTGCTGGGTCCCTTAATGATGATTGCTTTGTTTGCAATTGCATTTGCATATAGCAGGGTGAGAATGTATTAGCTAGGGTTGTTCACTTGTTCTCCCCTCTCCAACTGTAGATATGGACGAAGCAAGGAGGAATTGTTCCAGGACCAGCTTATATGGATGTAGGACAGTTTGGTTTTGCAAGGACCACACAATTCTTGAATCCTAATTAGCTTAGCTGCATTTGCAGTTCAGGCTCTGGGCATTGATGGCTGTTGCTGTCTTGGTGAGTGAGAGGAATTTATGTTTCAAATGATGCAATCATGCAAAACTGTAGTGCTATAATAACGATGAGGTCCCGTTTATAATGCGGGAATTGAACTGTTTCCTGTGAAATTCATGCATGCCCCTGAATGCGGCGTGCATTAAGTGTGGAGCATTTCAAGTTTGGGTAAACTTTAAACTCGATCTTTTTTTTAAACTTAAGATCGTATAGAAGTGGTACTTAACAATGAGGGTCCCATTTCTAATACGGGAATTGAATTGTTTCATATGAAATTCATTCGCTCTAAACACGGTGTGTATGGATTGTGGAACATTTTAAGTTCAGATAAGCTTAACATTTGATCTTCTTTTTTTACTTAAACTTGTATAAAAAGGAGGTATTCAGAATGTTCAGACATGGAATGATGTGAAACTGTGAAATGCTTTTCGGTGCTCGAGATTGGTGACTAAAGATCATCTCAAACCTCACTTTTCTTCTTCATGTTTACATCTGCATATATATAATGCCGAATCTAATGCAATCTCAGGCTTTGACAGTGGGGTTTAGGCAGCAAGCAAACGGTAAAGTAAAAGTGAGAGCTCATCTCATCTCTTTAGAGAAAGGCTGCAAGATCACAAAACTTGCTCCTGCCTTGAGATCCTTTCTCTGAACAAACATGAAAAGAAGAAAATGAAACTAAACACCACATTGCTGTTGCTGAAACCTACAACTATTCATCATCCTCTTCAAGGAAGAACAAAGATTGGAGCCAAAACGACAAGAAGGAAAGGAAAAACACATGAGTTTCTTTTCAGTATTAATTATAATAGAGTAAGAAAAGAATCAAGTAGGAGTAATAATAAGAAAAGAATTGGGACAGGTCAATTCAGGCAGGTCAATTCAGATGATCAGATCAGGAGATGCTAGTACTAGTACTACAACTACAGGGCCCTGCAGCTTCTTTTGATAAACGTGATTGGATTGGATGCCGAGTCGTCCTGCAAAGCAAAAGCATCAGCATCTTCATATGGAGTAGGCAGTACTACTGTAGCAGGTGTTGGAGTAGCATCAGCAGCAGAACTTTAGTATTTGTTTCAACTCTTTCCATTCGTTAACATCATTTTCTTTGAATCCGAAGAAAAATCAAGGGTAGGACAGCTGGTTTTGGAAGACAGACAGTGATCTGGGTGTGTGAGTCTGGCCCTGATCTTTTCTGATGAATCGATTAGTGGTGTGATTTTTGTAAAAACTTTCAGTATATGAATTTCTTATAATATTGATTTCAATATAATTTTCAAATTCATAGTAGTTAATCTATTCATTTGTACGCTCCAATAATTGTCACACATAATTGCCAATGTTGTTTTCTCCTTCAGATTTGGGAAGAAAAGAATCAACCATGTGGAGTATATGTTGGAACTTGGGAGCATCACTGTGCTCGGGAGACGGCGGTGGCGACTGCTTCAAGTACAGATTGAAGGCTCCATCCGTCGACTGCTTCAAGTACAGATTATTGTATTAATCCCAAGTGCTTTAGAAAAGTTGCAAGCTGGCTGAACTAATGTGATGCCATTCTTCAGTTCTTCAGAAAGGGTGTTTCTGTTCTCCTACTAACCCTGACAGAAACTAGTTGGAGATAACTGAATTAATTAGCTGAACATAGGATAATCCACTAGTTCATAGCAACTGGTTTTGCTGAGAATGCAGGAATCCTAATTCTGGAGTACATGCTTTTGTGAAGTCTGAACTGGCCTGAGAATCTGTGTTGAGGATTTCTGAAGAAAAAATGGCGAGAAGGCCTTTTCAGAGTATTGTTTTTAGAGATGGCCCAGATAGTTAGGTTGGGCTAAAATAAGCCCAAATAGATTGAGAGCTTAGCACCATGGGCTCGGCCCATTTACATATGTGGGCTGATTGGTCCTCCATTAGAACAGTACCTGATTGGGCCAAAAGAAACATGCATTCCTCATCAGCCGGAGTGTATTGGAACAAGTTCATATGAGGTCCCTTAACTTGTCAACGAATCCGATTTTCATGCTTCAATCGGAAAACCAGATACAACGGGTGCCTCAACTGTCAAAACCAGTGCAGACGAGGTCCCTCGGTGGTTTTGACGGCGATTTTGGCTAATATGACGCCTACGTGACAAATTTGACTTGGTCTTCATCTGATGTGGCATTGACCTGGTGCTTACATGATAATTCGATTCGGAAAAATAGTAAACTTCGTGGGACCCACATGTCAGGCTCACACATAAATTAATTAAAAGATGGTGGGACCCATGTGGGCCCACATGTCAGCTAAAAATAAGAGATGGTGGGGCCCACGTGGGCCCCACAAGTCCATCTCGGCTCTCCCTCCTCTTCCTCTCGGCTCACCCTCGTCCTCGCGGCGGAGCGGCGGCATGAGAATGCCGGCGGACAGAGCGGCAGGGGTGGCGGCAGTGGCAGGCCGCGGGCGGAGCAACAGTGGAGGTGGCCGGAGGAGGAAGAGGCAAAGGAAGAGGTCGCTGGCGGAGCGACGGCAGGCCGCGGGCGGCGGAGGTGGCCGGAGGTGGAAGAGGCAGAGAAGGAGGTCGCCCGCGAGCGCGGTAGCTCCACGCCGTCGGCCGCTCCGCCCGCGATGCCCAACAGAACGGCGCCGCCCCTCCTCGCCCGGTCGTCGAGCGCCGCTTCCCTCCTCGCCCGGCCGCCGCAGGCCCCCTCCCTCCTCGCCCGACCGCCGCCCGCGGCTTCTCCTCGCCCGGCCGCTGCCGCCGACGTCCTCGATGGTCACATCCGGGTCGGAGCCCTCCCTCCTTTCCCGGTAGCCGCGCACCGCCTCCCTCCTTGCCCGCTGCCGCGCGCCGCTCCGCCCACCTCCCCCCTCTGCGCCACTGCTCGCTGTTCTGTAGGGGAGAGAGAGGGGGGTAGAGAGAAGAGGGGGCTGACATGTGGGACCACATGGGCCCCACCTTTTCTTATTATTTTTGTGTAGCTGACATGTGGGTCCCACTATTTTTTATTATTTTTCCGGGATCCAATTACCACATAAGCACCACGTCAATGCCACGTGGGACGAGGACCTAATCAAAGGGAGCCACATCATCCAAAACCGGGCACAATACTGCCCAGAGACCTTTTCTGCACGGTTTTGTAAGTTGAGGGATGCGTTGTATCCGTTTTTCTGGACTGAGAATGCAAATCAGACTGGGTGACAAATTGAGGGACCTAAAGTGAACTTATTCTGAGTGTATTGGCTCTATTCGGGTGCAGCCAACAAGCATGGTATATTGTTTCTCCAGCTGTGGCAGGGCAGCGGCGGTACAAAGCAGCCGAACAGGCCCATTACTCGTATCACTAATCTGAATATCTGATGCAGGTATGAGAAAAACAAGAACAATTTGCATATACTATAAGTTAAATTAGCTCTTCTGTGTAAGTTCCGGTTGAATATATTGTACATGCAAGTGTACTTTAGCTACTAGAGAGAAAAAAGGAGGAAAATCTTAAGCTGATAAGAAATTAACCTGAAGGAACTTCTCTGAACATGCACCTATCAATCTTGTTCTGTCAAACGAATGGTAGTTGATTATGTATCACATAAATCAGATAAAAAAAATAACACCCTAGCTCTACCTCTTCTTGAGTTCAGACAAGCAAAGCCTGAACAATAAAATTCAGTCACTGTTCCTGACAAGTTCAATTTGCACACAGTACACCCATGACTTCTAATCCTTGCAAACCATCTGAATATGACTTCACATGCAAAAACAAAAACAAGCAGAACAATAGATATCTCAAAACCATCAACTTGTCAGCAAAGAGGAAAAGGAAGAAGAGAAAAAGACACGGTTGTTAAAATGTTCAGGATTCAGACAAGAACATGGAGAGAAGGGCAGCAAAGCCGGCAACCTTTCTGGAGCCACACAAACGGCAGCATTGCACTCCACGCCAACAATGACAAGACAGTAGTGAGAAGAACAAGATATCTAGATTATCATCTTTGCCTGTCACTAATCATCATCATCAGTTGGTAATTAGCTAGCCACCTGTGATTAATTAATTAGCTTAATTTGCAAGCATGATGGATGTGATTAGCCATTACATTTTTGCAAGCCAGGAAGAGGACACATGATGGTACAACATGTATATGAAAGTTGCAGGCACACACTGCACACTGCATTGAATTGAAAGGACAAAGGTTGTGGGCATCTTGTAACAAACCAGCTAGCTGACCAAATCACAATAAAGGAGACCTGCTTGGAGCTTTGCATGAATGTCACCATGTGTGTGTGGCCCATGAATCTTCCAAAGGACCATGCAATGCAAGCTAGGTGACAAATGTGCTAGCCATGGCCATGACCATGAGTGTGGAGAGGTGGTTAGAGATGCCAACAAAACTTGCAACTAATTAGAGAGAGAGAGAGAGAGATTGGTAGAGAGAGATGGTGGTGTAGTACAATCTCCTTTGCAAGTGAAACATCAAGAGAGGTAGAGACTAGAGAGAGAGATGCTGTAGTACAGTCTCCTTTGCAAGTGAAACATCAAGGGACAGAACAGGTCATTACATTGCAGAGAAAATCTCAAGAAAATGGCTTGAATATCTCCATAGTACAGAGCCCAAAAGAGGAGAAAAGTGTGGGCAATCATGCATATGCGAAGGGGGTGCCATGATCAAAAGATGGGCAGCAGTTTCATCCTTCAAGCAAGAGGCAATCATCATTCAGTTTTGTAGTGCCAAACTCCTTGTTTTGTGGTTAGGCATGCATATCTTGCAAGCAAGCATTAGCAAATCTTACTACTTGTCTTCAGGTCAAGAAAACCCATTCCATAATTCTTTTGCCCCCTCCTCCTTTTCTTGTTACTTAATTAGCAAGGTTAATCATGTCCCTCCTTTGGTCAGGTGATATTCCCATCACTAGCTAACATCATTGCTGGCAAGTGGCAAGATCACAATAATCAAAGCCACACTCATGAAAATAATTAGCAGATATGTTCCACATTTTCAGTTTTATGTATTGATCAGTAATACACATGTATTGCATCAAGTTCAGATATATGCCAGTATTGATCGGTAATACACATGTTTTACAGTGAAATTGCTAGCTAGAACTGCAAAAGAAGAGATATATTAGGGGATAAAACAAGAGAAAAAAGGAAGCTTTGTTTCTTTTGCTGCAGAGATCAGAATCTTGTATGTATCTTATCTACACACAACAAACAAGAACTAGCCATATGTCACAGATATATGTATATGCAGTATCAACAACTAGAAAACACAGGGATCACTATCAGCTAACCAAGCAACTAACTTGAACAGTTAGATTAAACTTCCTTCAGCCAAGAAAACATTCTGCAATTAGTAGAAAGATATGAATCCCTACTTGGACAGTTGGTTATGAATGTCATCAGTTTAATACAGATATGTCATATGTACCTGCACAACTGAAGAAAGTGACAAGGGGACTCCCTAATCAAAAGAGTATTTCTTGATAAGAAGCTCCATAAACAATATGGACCAAATCTTATGTTAAGGAATTAAGGCACCTGGTCTAAAGTCCAAGCTCCAAAGATGAGTTCACAATTCAGATGCTACCATCAAATCAAACGAATTTTTAGGAAGCACAGTTAAATTAAGGCTGGGCAGATAACACAACACATCCAACTCATAAACTACCTTAATTTTCAAGAAAATCCAAATCCAAGAGGTATATATGCCTTATTAAGAAAGAACAGACTAAGAAACAGATCAAGAGAGATCTATAAAAAAGGATCCCTAATTAACTCCATAGAAGCAGCTAGTCTTTAATTAAAACTGAATTTGAGCAGGTATATGGATTGGATTGATGACTACCTCACCTTGAGAGTTGAGAATCCCATCTGTTCAAAGATTACGTCTTCATCTGCAGAAGAGCAAGGCAAACTCTCAAAGAATCTGATGAGCTACCTAGCAGATTAATCCATGCAAATCCGGCTACAAAGTTAGGGTTTTTTTTTGCTGTGCTCCCAACCAGCAGATGAAACTACAGCATGACCTGATCGATTGATCCGTAATTAATCAAGAACACAGATGAGAGAGGTGGATCATCATCATCATCAGATCATGCTGGCAGCTTCACCAACTTGTGGTGCACCACTGCCCTTAGTTAATTTCCCTAGCTTTCATGGAGGAGAGGAGGAAGAAGAGAGAGAGAGATGGGCGAATAATTGGAGAAGACTAGAAGAAAGCAGCAAGCGGCGGCCGGGATATATACAAGCCAAAGTGGTGATTTTTACTCTCTCTCTCATCTTTTGTCATCTCATCTCGCCTTGTTTTTAAGTATGATTATTTACTCCACGTCTTTTTTTTAAGAAAAACACAGTATAGACACAGTGGCGAATCTAGATATAAATTGAGGGAGGGCTTTGTATAAATATGGGCAATGTGACTGAAACAAACTAGGATATATCAACTAAGTATTTTCGATGAAACCCAAACCCATATGATCAAAAGACAACCCATTGCTTTCTCCATTTTAATTTGCAGCTATATTAATATATACACACAAATGTATCAAGAAATTGATATGGTATACTTATAACATATTTGACATTGCAATTTAATTTGGACATTGAGTGCTTGAGCTAGCTTTCCTTGTCATACTACTGGATTTACACTAAATGCTAATAGAGTCATTAGTTGCTAATTAGAGGAAGGGGATCATGGAGCTGGGACTTGCGCACTGACAAGCCCCAACAGTGGATCCACCACTGTATAGACGTATGCGTCCACAACTCGCGTACAACCACCCCTTTGAACATACACACATACACCCTATCTGTATGAGTAGGTTAATTTACTTACTCAATGTCTTTAAAACTGTGTTTCTTTAAAAATGATATGTTTCTTCTTTATAATTTAGTTCGATTGTTTTAGCCCTTGTTAATTAATTCTGACTTGTTTTATTGAGAACATAGGTGAATTGTACAAAAGCTTGTAACTGCAATTATTTGAGCTAATTTCAATTTAGATTTGTAAAGTACTTGATTTATGGCTTTAATTTGAGCCGTAGATCCTACTCTGGAAATTAACATAAATACCAACATTAATTAATAGCAGGTCGATTAATTTGCTACTGATTAAGTTTACTTCTTAAATATTTAAGTTACTCTTATACTACCTCCGTCCCATATTACTTATCGCTTTGAGTTTTTTGTTTGTAATGTTCGATCATTCATCTTATTCAAAAAATTTTAGAATTATTATTTATTTTGTTTGTGACTTGTTTTATTATTAAAAGTACTTTAAATATGACTTATCATTTTTTATATTTGCACTAATTTTTCAAATAAAACGAATGATCAAACGTTGCAAGTAAAAAAATCAAAGCGACATCTATTATGAGACGGAGGTAGTAATTATTAAGTAAATAATTTATAATAATAATCAGGTGAATAATTTATTTTAATACATTACTATATGATTTTCCCGTACAATGTTTGTTGGTTAGCTCTAGGTTGTTCCAATGTTTGGTCTATTCACTAATGAAAGGAAGTACAGTGCCCCCTCTTAAATAATTTGAGGATTATAGGATTCTCTCGATTTGAGTCAAACATTCCAGACTTGAATAGTCGGTAGTTTCTCAAATGTTTTGTAAAGAAATAGTATATCTAGATATGTCTTGGAAATTATTGTCATAATATTTTCAAAAACATTATATCTTATGAAATCATTTTAATATAAAACTGAAGGTTAAAACTAGATTGAATCAATCTTATCTCCAACATCAAATACTTCTATTATGTATAAATTGAACTAACCAATGTTATACATAAAAGAACAGAGTGTATTATTTTTGACGGAAGAGAATAAGCTAAGTATGTTTTTACAGAGAATTTCTTTTTGCAAAATACAAAGAATTTAAAGAATTTGGTGATGAACAGTAAAAATTCTCATGAGTATATGAAGTTAGTGAATTTTCTCACTACTAGCATGAATTATATTAATTTAAATGCTACTTAAATGGTTAATTAGTTGCGTTAGAGATCGAGAACTTTTCGTGCAGGCAGTCGATGGACGTCTACCTCAATATATCGATTTGTGTAGACAGTGACAGCCTGATGATATTAATTAATTAATTAATCGACTAAAGTCTCTCCATGTCTCTTGAATTATTTTTTTCTGTCTATCAAAAGATTGATAGAGATGGCACGGAGGATACGGTATGGACCCGTATCTATACCAAATCTGAAACAGTAGCCGTATATACGTATCGTCTTCTTTCCAGTCTCTTTCATTTTTTCTGGACCGATTGATGATGGATATGAATACGTCTGTCAAATATTATACAATGCATGTGTACTATGTATGAATGTACATAAATCTAGGTCAAATGTTGCTACAAGCTTATCACGAAATATTAAAATTTAGAATGACCAGTATTAATCCCAGAATGCAGTACATCTCAATTAATTAAGAGTTCACCAAGACCACCTCACAGTGATTAATCAAGGACCTTGCAGTATAGATTTAGTTAATTATTCATCCCTGCATGCTTTCGATGAGAGATTAATAGTTAATACCAAATGCATGCATCTTCACAAATCACAACACAATGCAGTAATTAACGGCAGTAATTAAGCCAGTTAGTAGGCAGTATTTTTTTACATACTGCTACTGTGTATGAGACCTGTGCCTATATAAATTAATATGTCAGTGGCCTAGTTTTGGAAGCAGAAAGTGACAATTCTGCTGCTTGAATTGGATGGCTATAGCTTGGGATTACAGACTATGAAAGAGAGCCAGCCATACATCTCAATGCATGCATAAACTTTTAGGTAGATCTACAAATCCTTAATGTTGCTTTTCTACACAATTGACTAATTTTGTGTAAGTGACAAGTGGACACAAATTAAGTGATCCCTACATTAATTTATCAATTCTTATATTGTTGAATGCATTAACCTATGATGTTGGTGAAAGTATGGGGGCCTTATGTCTTAATTAGGATATGCATGAAGTGGTTGTCTTGTTAGTTTAATTAGTACGTAGAATATATTTTTAACTACATTAATGATATAAAAAGTAAATCATCCATATACATAATTATAGTGTGTTTGCTGCATCAAAAAGAAAAAAAACTACATTAGCCAGCAAACATGAATCCTATTTTTGCTTCAGATTTATATGAAAGCACTCACAACATGTCAACATGTAGTAGTTGCCAAAAACTAATAATTACCTAGCTAGCTTAGTACTACTACACATTGCTTAGTGGAGTAACTAAATAAATGGGCCTGTATAGCTGTTTCAAGTTAGTGAAGTACTAGTGCTCAATATATAGGCTTTTAACTGATATATTAGTCTAGCCCAATTGCTTTAATTTTTGTTGTACTCAAGAAGTTTGAAGCTAATTGAATGGAGCTGACACATTTATAATTTTAAATCATCAACTAATCCTAAGACTAGGGCTTTTGAACTAATAAAAACAATAGGTACCCTTAATTACATACACTGAGAAATCCAGCATAAACTAATTAACTATTATAACCATATACATTGATTGATACTACTTCACTAGCTACGTACTTATACTAGATAGAAAAAAAATAACAGCAGCTCGTAGAGGTAGATGCAAAGTTTGCAACAACTTACCCTGTACCTTGTACTCTTTCTGCAGTATTGTACAACTAATCAAGCTTGTACAAAGTAATCAAAACATCAAACATGCAGAGATAAATCATAGATGCATCACCTTATCCTGTCTGTACCCTCTTGCAGTACTGTGCACAGCTAATCAAGTTTAACACATGCCCAACAGTGTGAAGAAATGAGGCTGTCATGCATGATCTAACAGTGATTTACACACACAGATCTGACGATTAGTCAATCGACTGTACGCCAACAGTGCCGATTAATCAGAGCTAGATCATGCTGGCAGCTTCACTCATTCACACTAGCACCATCATCATCATCTCACTTATAATTCATCCACTAATTTCATCTCACTCTTTGGAGTACTAGCTAGCAATAACTAGAGAGATGCACACTACTGAAACAAGAGCAAAGTATACTGAAGAAGCTACAGCTACATACATGGGAAGCAGAAGAGTTTTTGTGCTCATGATATGTAGTATACTAGTATATACCATGAATCTTGAATTCACCAAGAACTCAAGATGAGTGAGCTTGATGGAAGAAGAAGAAGAAGAAGAAGAAGAGGAGAGATGGCTAGCTAGCTATCTAGAGAGAACGAGGTTGGTTCAACCAAAGTGTTTCAGGCTTGGCTTTTTGGATGGATGGGCATGCATTTATAGAGGAAGCAGGGAGAAGCTAAGGCAGGTGTACTCCTCCATGTATGATTAGGGTATGTGTACATATACACGTATATACACAGTATGGCAACTGTGTATTGATTAGAGTACATTGGTAAAAGAGAAGGGCTAGAGAGAGAGAGAGAGAGATGTGAGTAGCAATGCATGCAGTGGTCACTACCATAGTGCAGGACTTCTCATGTGGCATTGCTGCAGGGAGTCTATATAGCTAGTAGAAGGAAGCCATTGCAGGTTTTTGCAGCTAGCTATAGCTAACCAGCAGAGGAACATTACTTAAAAATAAAAGAAGAGAGTTAATTTTACAGCATGCTGGTGTGTGTGGCACATGAAACAAGGTCATGGGAACTTCTTTAGAAAATTTTGCAGGAAGTTTTTCAAAGTCCATTTTTATCCCTTAGGGTGTGTTTAGTTCACACTAAAATTGAAAATTTGGTTGAAATTAAAACGATGTGATGGAAAATTTGGAAGTTTGAAGAAAAAGTTTGGAACTAAACAAGGCCTTAAGGACTTTGCTTCAAGTTGATCTATTTTTCATGTTGAATTACAAAGTCGGTTATTTTTCACCCTTAACTTTTGAAACTAAAAATGAAAACACCATGGGACATGTTTTCTTTAGTTGTTTTGTTTAAAATGACGGTGATTTTATTAGTTTATACTCTTATTGCACAATTTTTGCTAATGTACAGATGCCACTAAGTTGGTCTACAGCTATAAACATACCTAAATGAAGCTTGTGTTATAGTGAGAAAACTTGAAATGTGTTTTAAGCTTGCTAGGTGTATTTAAAAGTTGAGAATAAAAAAATAACATGTTTGTAGTTTAGGGTGGAAAAAATAGACTTTGAGAAAAAAAAATTAATGGCTAAAATGGACTTTACCCTAAAATTAAACTGTCTTTTGGACAAAGGAATTGTAGTCAAAACTTCAGCTGAGGACTGATAAAATCCTTCTCATCCTCTCCATTGCATATTTGCATCCATGTTCATCTTGGTCCACCAATTAATTTAACTTCGATACTGAATTAAACAGGTAGCTATTTAAGTAAGAAAGTGTTTGATTCTCTGATGGTTTTCATTATAACATCTGCTAATTAAAAAGAAGATCGATTTCATTGCACATAGTACCCGTTGTTTGCATATGTGGCAATAATAAGCAATTGATTAATTAGAGAGCTTTGGACGCTAAATTGACATGTATTGATTTATAAAGTGTTTTTTTTTGTGTTTGCTGAAAATTCATGTAAATTTAAACATGTAGAGATCGGACATTATATTATACCAAAACGACAGGCACTAGAGACATGCTGGTACCAGCACACGTACCATCAAGCGTAGCCTACAGCAGCGAGTAAACAGAAAACTTTCTACAGGCATGAGATCTGCCTGCACAGTAGTACATACTCTTTCAGTATTCTAATGAATGACACCGTTAATTATTTTTATCAATATTTAGCTATTCGTCTCATTTAAAAAAAATTTATAATAAAAATATTTGTCATGCTTAAACAATATGTGATGATAAATCAAGATAAAATAAAATAAATGATAATTATATTTTTTTAATAAGATGAATGGTCAAAATATTTGTTAAAAAGTCAACGGCGTCATATATTAAAAACACGGAGGGAGTAATACTCCTACTACTAGTATAATAATATATATACTTGTATATTTCTTTTCTTTTCTTTTTTTTTCTTTATCGATCATAGTATAGTACTGTGCATGCATGCATGCGTAGCAGTAGCTTTCTCCTCTGATCATAACTTAGTTTATGCTTCCAATGCCTCCTCAACCCTTTCTGACCTGCTAGCTAAACCCTACATCTCTCCTTTTATCAGTTTATGCATAGCATGCATGCTGCTGAAAAGAGAAGAAATGCAGAGAGCATCTATCTATAGCATGATCCAGCAACTCTGCCTCTCCTATTGCTGAGTACTTGTACTAATTAATAATACAATTCAGTTAGCAGCAGGCATGTCCTGGCCCAGTGGCCTTGTTGATCAGATACCTGTGTGAGAGATGGCACCAAGGAGATGAGACAAATCTGTGTAACCATGTTGCTATTATGTGCTGTGTAGGTCTTCTCATGCTTTGGATGTGATGGTTGCATGGCCTTTAATAAGTTAATTACACATCTGGGGTTAACTACAGCTAGCTAGAGACTCTCATCTGGGGTCAAGCAAATTAACTGTCACACTAATTAATATAGTCATTACAATTAACAATTGTTGTTGCTCCACTCCTAGCTAGCATAACTACTAGTACTAGTACTATTAATGTAGGGTTACTTTTGTTTTCTCTGTAATCTTAAGCTTCTTAAACCGCCTTATATAAGATGATTCTCTATTTGAACCATCAGATCTTCAAAAGTTCCAAGCAAGCATTACATATAATCATATATTTCATGAGGCTCTCATCGTCTCCTTATTACCTTATTAGACGCCGCTAAAATTTAAAAGACGAAACTTAATTTTAGAGTTAATTTTG